ATATGCAAATAAAAGGTGATGCACACATATATAAGGCTTACCTCTTCAACACACTGCTGTGGCTCTTCTGATGTTTCTAGCCGAACAGTATTTKTTGACACTATKCTCACTGAATCCTCTTTTTACGGACGGGAATGCTGACTTTGCAATGCTGAAGCAAYTTCTTTGTTAGTCTTGCCGGACCTGACTAAGGCAATGATGTCGTTTTCGTCGACGTTATCCATTGAAATCAACTGATACCGGTGCACTATAAAAACATGGCCTCCCTSGAACTGATGCCAAGTCCCCGTATATTGCAATTGCCGCCAAAATTACGGAAAAATCAGTCGAAAATCGGAAACACTTGTTCATTGCGAACTATTCAGTTAAATAGAAAATAGCTAATTCAAAACTGGAAATTGGATATGCGAAATACATTATGGGTGGTAGAAAATAGTTTATATTGCACTGACTAGAAAACAAACAAACAAACAGGAATATGGAAAATAGAGCCAAGGAGAATAGGCAAGCGAMCAATTTTCTTGATATCGTTTTCTCTGTTTTCAAACTGTTTGTAAAACAGSAAATAGCTATCGATTTACCTATTTCCTATTTATTTAATCAATAGGAAACCGAAATACCCAAATGTGCCACGGATTCCTAAAAATCTTATAATCAAATTTCAAATCTCATTTGGATTTTGAAATTCAACAACACACCACTCAAAATTGAAAATTCAAGTTCCATAACTAGTTCAAAAGTCAAACTGTGGAACGTTACACGGACCTGCYTGCCACACAGATCCAGCTAAACCATCAAGAAGTCTTATAAAGAGCATTTGCTCTTCAGAGGCACACAAGTTTACAACATCAGCTACAAGTTTTGTTGTTGAGCACTGCATTACAAGTAATAATGTATATCCTTAGTTAGGTAACAATTTAACTTGTGAAATCTGTTTCAAAGAAACCAGAGTGATAGTGTTTTCTTACTTTGGTTAAATGTTCACTTACATAAACAATAGAAAACACATTTAAATTAAATTAAACTAATTGACTTTTTTTGAATTTTCAGATGGGGTTGCACTCATGAAAAGGAAGCAAGAAAGAGCTATGAAAGAAAAATGTGTGGGGATCACGAGTGCTTTGTTTTCTGTGACAGTGGGCTCAACATTAACCCCAAATGGCCTTATCTTGGTGCTTCGCCTGATGGTGTTGTGAATTGCGATTGCTGTGGGAAAGGGTGCTGTGAGATAAAATGCCCATTTTGTTTCAAAAATGCAACAACAGAACAACTTGCTGGTGAAAAAAGTAGCTGCTTAACAGTGATAGATGGTAAATGTCACTGGACCATAAAMATGCTTACTATTATCAAGTGCAGGCYCAGATCTTCATCACAGAAACTGATTGTGATTTTGTTGTTTGGACTGAACAAGATATTCACATAGAACGTGTCTTTCCAGATGAAGCATTCTGGGATGAAGCTAGAGAAAAGGCTTCCAAGTATTTTAGTTGGAATATTACCTGAATTGTTGGGGAAGTGGTACTCTATGCCTGCAAGATTTAATGTACCAGAAATGAATGACTTGGATGGTAAAACTGGATTGTGGTGCTATTGCAGGGAGGATATTGAAGGAAGCCTACTTATTGGCTGTGATAATGACGAATGCAAGATTGTCTGGTTCCATATGCAGTGTTTGAGACTAGATAAAGCTCCATCTAGGCAATGGTTCTGCCCTACCTTCCAGTCATCAGGGTAGAATTAATGATATACAAGTACACAAGTAAACATTTTTTTTCATAATAAATATTTTAATATTCTTAAATTATCGTTTTTTATATAAACCTACCAAAGTATGTATTCAATGCTTTGTAAAAAATATAGATAGTATTTGTAATTACTTGATCAACAGAGTACAGACACTCGAAGTGTGCATCATAAATAGTACTAAAAAGTGCATCAGCAACAGTGGTTATACTGTATCAATGTTACAATAGAGTGATTCTAAACGTATTTCTTGGATAGAATGACATGACTCTAATCAAAAGGAACAATTAAAGGGGATAAATTACAAAGGGCACAAGAAACTTTAGCAATTTTATCAATTGGCGAGGAAGTTTCACCAGCTTTAGCAGTTATAGTATGGTTGTCCGTTCGTTTCAAAACTGGGACATGCTGTACGCGTTTTTTTGTCCCACGTACAATCATAAAAACGCATATATATGCGTTTATTATCGAGGATATACGCGATATTTTGTGGTATACGTACATWAAATATCGAACGCGTATATGCATGTGATTGAAAAAAAAGTGTACGTTCGATRGTATTTCCGATCACAATCATGTCCCATTTGGGACCGTATGTGTGCGGTTCAAAAAGACGCATACACAAAAGACGCATACGTATACATGCCTTGCTTTTCTTGGTACGTACGCGTTCGTTTTTATTAGTCTCCAGTCTCCRATAGCTTCACGTGCACGTGGTTAAGTGTCACGTGATCATGGATTTCCCGTGCATTTCGTCAAGTTCCAAGACAAGATGGCGAGCTCGATTAGCTCAAGGGTTTTACTTCGAAAAGTCGGAGTAAAACACGGCGGAACGGTAAGCTGCTTCCATTTTAAACATGATTTAGTGAAATTACATTAACTTGTAATTAAGAGCATGTATTCTTACATGTAACATCAATGCATTGTTATTCGAATTCCTTGGAATGTTGTCTTTGTACCTCGTTACTGTATAAGCTTTATATTTTGTTTCATCCTTATYCATCAGTATCAAAAACTATTCATCGTTGCCAAGGAGATACACTTAATGATGCAGTTATAGATTTTCCAAGCACAACAGTATAGCATATGCACTATGTTTGAGCAGAGTCAGAAACAGCTCTAATTTACATATCCTTAACCTTAATGAGCAGAAAATAAAGGTTAGTCAAGCTGTTAAAGCAACTCTAGAGCAGCAATTCTAAAACCTGATTTGCCTAATTTGTGTCAATGCAACAACAAAGATTCAGGTTCCACAGTATTATTTAACAATGTTAGATCCCTTAATCTACATATTGAAGACATCCGAGTTTTAGACTCRTACTTCAGTGACCATAAGCCAATTTTCATTAAAATATGTTAGATTACCGTAWATTAAGTAAATCGATATTGAATGRCCTAAATTACATTTTTACAAGAGCCATAATGGCTTCTCACTAGGGCCATTTCATTTTCATCAACAAATACAATTTGTGATCAAGTTCATAT